CTCAGTCTTAACGGATAGTCATGACCCCAAAATCTGAGTGGTCCCTAAAGTCTGGTTGTGTCACAGATTGGACACTAAATTTAGAGGGCACAAAGTTCTACTTTTTGAATTTTTCATGCCGACTTGATTAGTAACAGCAAACTATAGCAACATTTATTGAAGGTTTCTAATTATATGCTAGGGTCTGTGCCAAATGCTTCACATGGATTAATTCAGTGACATTTCACAGGAGACAAGTGTCTTTATTGCCCCCATTTGACTTCTAGGAGATCTGAGTCTCAGAGGAGTCTAGTAACATGTGCAAATACGCACAACCAGTCAGTGGTAGATGGAGAGTCTGATTCTAGAGTAGAGGAACTTAGCCACACTGTTGTCTCTCTGAAGGATTCTAAAGCAATCTCTTAGGCCGGCTGAGTGGCTCAGTTGGTTAAGAGCTTCCTCAAGAGCTTGAGCAACAGGGTTGCTGGTTCGATTCATGGCCTGAGCTGAGCTGCCACTGAGCTGCCAACAGGTGGCAGGATGGCTCAGCTAAAAAAAACAAAAAAAAAACAACAAAACAATCTCTTAATGGCTAGCAAAGTAGAAATTTGCCCAGCATGTTTAGAGACTTTCTTTCAAACATTGGAGCGATAACTAGATTAAGAGGCAAAACAGGTATATTTGCAATGAATAGTTTATAATTTTTAAGGGGGTATATAGGAACTTTATACTTTCTGCACAGTTTTTTTTGGTAAACCTAGAAGGCTCTAAAAAAAAAATCTATCAAGAAAAATAAGGTCTATGCCTCTTTTTCTGCCTGCTAAATCCATCCTCAAATACACATGACCATCTGTCAAAATTTGCATCTAACTATAGACATACACCCAGAACCTCTTCAATAAGGCCTTCCAGATCATAAAGATTCCCGACTGGAATGGCTTTTCCTCTTTTCCATCTCTCATGGCAAATATCTTCAATTATTATCCTTTTCCTAGTCGGCTTGGTGTTAAAGCCAGTTGTGTCTTTTCATTAGCTTTTGAGTCTCTAAAATATAGAGATTATTCATTTCTTATTCACTTCCAGTCCCACAACCCAGTATCTGTACTATGCCTGGGTACATGATCATGAAAAAAATTTTAACTCAATTTTCCTAGGTCTCTCCCATGTATACAGGAGGTATACATGT